TATTGAACGTTGCAAAAAGTAAAATCTTTTAAACTTTTTGCAACTGTCAATCAATGTTGCAAACACATTCAAATCGCAACCCAACCCGACCCGACTGGCCTACATAAAAAATGAAGGAAACACGAGTCAAGCCCTAATCTATTCTCACGTCTCAGTTCTCACCCTCTCGTCTTCACTCTTCCTGCCGCCAAACCAAGCCCTGTCTCCCTTCATTTTCCCTCAAATCACCGATGGCAATCTCCATTTTCTAGTTGTCGGTCATCGTTTTGTCCATACTAGAGTAAGTATATTTCCTCATTTTCTATACCTATTTCTCCCCCATCTGTCTCTGATGTGTTATGTACATCTTGTAATTATTTTTTCTCTACTTCAGTTATTAGGAATAAGTGCATTGGTTGGGGGCTTTAATACGATGTACCAACATTAACTTTTATAGTCTTCATTTATTCAAAATGCAGTAAAGAAGCTGTTTGTTTTTAGCGATATGGAGTTTGATGAGGAATCAAAGAATCCTTGGAAGATGGATTACCAAGCCATACAGAGGAAATTTAGCGAGATGGGTTATCAAAATGTGCCAAATATTGTGTTTGGAACCTCAAAGACTCGAGGTCGACCCCTGCAATAGCAAATCAGAGTGGGGTAGCGTTGGTGAGTAGATTTTCAAAGAATTCACTAACTATGTTCTTGGAAGGAGGGGGGAATTGTGAATCCAGAAGAAGTCATAGAACTTGCCATCTCCAGTGAAGAGTATAAGAAACTTTTGTTTTTAATTTATATGTTACTAACTTTCTTATCAGTTTTTCTGCTTTAGAAATTATTAGAGCTCTAAAGAATATGGTTTGATGAAAAGATTAGTAAATCGATAAATCATTTATTTTTCCTTTTTTTCAAGAAAAATACTGCAATAACCCTGTGTTGGTTTTGTTGAATGTCAGGGAATCATGATAATGGCAATATAATTTGCCTTTTTATCATGATAAGTGCATTGGGATGGAGAAAGCATCACTGGAACATCATTTCTACCATATAGTTCTTCTTAGACATGGTAATTTTTTAAAATTTGTAACCCATGCCATCCGATTGATACACTTCCATTTTCTAATATGAATGCTTGAAGTGAATTAGTATAATTGAAATATAGAAAGTTGAGATTCCCATTGAATTCAATATCTACCATCCACATCAAACCCAGCCCCAGTCCAACCAAACAGGACCTCTACACTTAGCTATTGCTCCTATTCCCTTTAGTGGAACATACTTTTCTTCTTTCCTTTTCCCTCTCCATCAATAACAGACTATTGGTTTTCACACTTTGTTAGGGGAATATTACTAAAATCAAGGAGGCAGATAGAGAAAAACGATTTCCATTATTGAAACATTTTTATAAGATGTGGCTTATATAGGATGTGATATTATTTTGAGAACTTTTTAAGAATGACTTTAATATTCGTGTTTTGTGTCTTTGTAGTATTATAGGATTTTGTAGAATAAAGTGAATATGTGTCTAATTATAAATTGGGGGTGGGTGTTCATTTCATTTTAGGCAAGAATTAGGGTGTCAAATTGGGAGAGAAGTGAGCATTTCAAATGCTCATCAACCTGGTAATTCCTTTCCAATTTATTTAGTAATACAATTACAAATTTATTTTCTGTTGTTTTGCTTCATAATCTGTGTCGGTGCCAATCAAACACTTGAATATATTGAACTATGAATACCTAGGTACTGATATATTGATGATTATTATTTGTTCAATGATTTTATTTATTTTTTGCTGAATATGTATGCCCAGTTGCTTCCTCTTGCTTTGCCTGCCCCACCTATGCCAGGTATGGGGGTGGTGGGTTGGGAGGAGGTTTTGCCGCACAAATGCCACCCTCACCAATGGGTGGAATGCCTCCAATGCCACCATTTGGCATGCCAGTAATGGGGTCCTACTGATGTTTGGATGATCTCGTGATACGAAATTCATAGTGAGTAGTTTTTACTTGTTGAGAAAATGTGCACCCCAATGGGTTGCGCTTTATGCCTTGTCGTCTCGTGTTTCTTGTTTGATGCTAGACGCTGCTTTTTCACTTTTCTGGAAGCTGTCTAGTTCAAGGTGAAAGTTTAGTTAAAGTTCTAAAATAATGTTATGTGGTGTCGTCTGTCATAAGTTGTGGATATAGTTTGTAATATTCTTTGGTAGCAGAGCATTTTTTGGCTGCTACAGCTGCAAGCTAAGGGTAATTTGTGTTTTATAAGAACAAGTGCCATTGAAATTGGCAACATTATATACTAAATTCTCAAAACTAAACTTGCGGTTTAGTTGAAATTTCGTAATTATTTGCTTGTGTTATAAGAACGAGTGCATTGTGATTGGAGACATTTTAAAATTTTGGTGGCATTCATGAATGAGTATACTGCTAGAAAAATTAGGTGCAAATTATGTTCTTAAAATGGAATCTAGAATTTAAATTTCTACTAATGCAAGTACAATTAAGTAATTCATTGCTATTTTTGTCTTTGTAACAGGCTTATCCTTAAACTTTTTACAGTATTGAATTTCCTTCTAATGAAATTGACCTTTCTTTTCAATTGTAGAGGCTAGTTATCAAAACGATTTCCATTATTGAATTTTATATATTCGTGGAATTCTTGCCATTAATTCAACATATTACATATTTTTCATCAACTTACTTATTTTTATTTTTTGTTTTTCCGCTCAAATGCAATTGGTACAAATGCTTAAAATTTGGTATCTATCTTTATCTTCTTTTTCATAGGCCAGGATCGATACTTAAAGCTAAACTCGTGTCGAAGATTGCTGTAAAGAAAATTGAGAAGGCCGATGGAGTTGTTTTACTCACTACTTAGTTTGTCTTTTTTCTTCTTCTTTTCATTTTTTTTTTTTGGAAAATGTATTGAATTTTTAGAAGCTTTAGAATTTTGGATTTGGATTTTGTATAGATATTGTTACATTTTGGAGTTCAATTAATAATAATGATTGGAGTTATTTAATATTGTTATCTTCTATCATATTTTGTAGTTGATTTATGTAAGTTACTGTACAAATAAAAGAAATGAAAAAAAAAATGGTAAAATGACTTTTCGGTAAAAGAAATGAAAAATAAAAAAAAATTGTAAAATGATTATTCGCAATGTTTATTAAATGTTGCAAAAGTTGACTTTTTACAGCGTTTAATAAACATTGCGAAAAGTGACTTTTTGCAGCCTTTAATAAACACTGCGAAAAGTCATTTTTTTGCAGCGTTTATTAAATGTAGCGAAAAGTTACTTTTCGAAATGTTTAAAAAAGTTGCCAAAAGTCACTTTTTTCGATGTTTAAAAAACGCTGTAAAAAGTCTTCCTTCAACAGCAACATCGAATCCCGCAACATACGGTAAAATGCTGTAAATGACTTGTTGCAGCGTTTTATGGCCTCTGCAAAAGCACTTTTTTTGTGTGGTGTCATGTGCTTGTTGAACTTAACCGATGGCTTGAAGATTCAACAAAGAATTTAATTGTTCGAATGGTGGCTAGAAAAAGATATTTTGGTGCTGGGTCGGGATACTTTTATTTGCAAATAAAAATTGAAATTGCTCAAATTGAATCATTTCATTTTTTTTTTACAACCAAGTCCTATAATCAACTGATCCAATGTGCTACTCCTATCCAACGTACATAATAGACTTGAGTGGAAAAAAAGAACCATTTTGCCCACCAATTAAATCATTTTTTACTCGGGCGAATTTGTAATCACATCACGTGCCTTGTAAGGATACAAACACGAACAATTTAGAATTTTATTTTCAAAATTAAGTTGTCGAATTTCAAAACATCACTTATCCATCTTACATAGTATGAACCATTCCCTAACAATCACGACCTGAAAGATTTTGAATAAACTTGAATGAGTATTAAATACCTTTTAAGACATAATTATATATATTTTTTATTTTAAAATTAAATATATAATGTGAACACTTACAAACTTTTAACATTATATACATCTTTTTATATATG